CATTCTAATCACCCTTTTGCTGTTAATTCCAGAAGAAAGTTTTTTAAAGTCCTTGAACTTGTATTTAAAACTTCTTTCACTAAAGATTGAAGGAAAATCACCTGGTGCTATAAAACTTGTCAATCTAAAGGTTCCTAATAGCTGAAAAGCAGTTAACAACAATTTCCAAAGGGAAATATTTCCTTTTCCAATTTGAAAAGGAAATATGCAAACCCCATATCCTTTCAAAGGTGCCAACCATAGTTTGAGCAAGATGGCTTGGCCTCATCTCCCAGAGCTTGAAACCTTCCAGAGGCCGCTGTCTTGCAGTCTCTTCATGAAGAGCAGGTGTCTGGAGCCCTTGTGGGCAATCTCCAAGTCCTCTCCTTGTCCGGAGAGGAATTACGAAGAGCCTCTACTCGCCAGCTCTTTGTTCTGCCACAGTCGTCTTCAGTTTGCCACTTCTTCCCCAGAAGTCCTCCCCTATTTTTCCCTACAGCTACAATCCTGTGGGGTTAGGATGAGAAAGAGAGAGATTGATTCCAAGCCACCCCAGTGATCATTTGAGAGTGATATCTCTTTTTGGTAGGAATGCTCTGCTCTTCAGTCTGTATTAGAGTTAAATATTAGCTGTGGTATTTCCAAGTCTGATATCTATCGATTCCTACATGAAAAGGGAAAATCTCAACTATATGAGTGACAGCACTGGGACCTGAAGCCTGTAGATGTCCTTTTCCTTTCCAAACATGAAACCACACTTGAGTATTTTAGAATAAAATTGCACTATTTGTGTGCTTGCTTGTTGGTTTTTTTAAAAAAAGGTTGTTGCATTATATTGGTGTTTGGATTGGCTATGTGCTGTAAAATGAAATGCAAATAGTTCAACGGACCGAGCAAGAGATTGCAATCAGTTGGGATCTGTGCAAATATGTATTGCAGGGTATTTTCTACTTTGGATATTTACCAGAAAGACTTTGGACAGATACAGTATGAAGCAACTATAAAGAGGGGACTTCATTTTGAGGAAAGCCAAGTCTATCCTTTAAAATAGAGTCTGTACATGTGGTTTCTGTTTATAGCATAAAATTTCTCCTGACATCCTTTTTTGTATATTTATATATTTCCACGGCAGCCAAAGATGTGGGGAGGAGAACGCACGTCATTAAGATGACGTTGGGGTCATGGGAAAACTTCACCACACATTGTGCGTGGAGGCAGATTAGGAGCTACTAACCTTTGTCTCAGCTCCTTGTTTCTTAATACACGAATGCCTAGTTTTTACTAACAGGAAATGAGCAAAGGCTGTTCTCCTATACAAAATCACTACTGGCACTAGAAGTTAGTGTGGTAGACAAAAATGTTTTGCCTGGTACAGTAGTTTTCTGTGTTAAAGAACTGTTAAATGTTTTAGTTACTCCTTACTTTTTTTTTTGCATCATAAAAGAACATTCCTCTTTCATGTGAGTACCCACCAGGAATCAGAAGTTGGTATTTATGAGCAATGGGTTGGCTTTCTTCATTCTAATTATGAAAAATAGTCTGCTTTCTACCAGTAGTCTTAAGGACAGACTTGGTTCATGCTCTTTATTTGCTGAACCATGGTAACAAGCCTCAATTCTCTGGGTTCACACAACCCACTAAGCCATAAACATTGTTCAGAAACCACAATAGCTAGTCTATTGAACACACTAATCAGAAAGAAACTGATTACATTGTGTTTTAATGTGATGTGTGAATTCAGCCATACTGTTTAGGGTTGTAAGAAAAAAATCTGCAGAATCACTGGACGTGAAAACATTTTCTTGGCAATTATCTAGATTTACTTTCTACATGTAGTTGTATCTTAATATGTTTCTATATGTTCCTATATGTTTACAAGTTGACTTCTTACAAGCATAAAATTAATTTTTTATATTGTTTTAGCATTGCTTCGCTGAAGAGTTCTGATAAAGAAGATTCAGAAGTGATACCTGAAGATACCAACTTAATAACTCTTAAGTATATTGAATTTCATTTCAATTGCAATTCTGATTAGTTCAGAGTTTGTTCTAAGCCATTATTAATTTTAAGTATAGTTTGTGAACTAAGGCAGTGAGCAGATTTATAAAACATGCCAAGCCAAAGCAAGCAAACTGTGATGGCTTAGTTCAGTTAGTTTGCCTGACTCAATACTGCTAGCATGTAATTTAGGTCGTTGCTGAGTGCTAAATTTATGGGGTATCTGTGCAAAATGCCATACTTGTATTGCATTGTATGCTAACATGCAAAGAGATGCTGAATTTTTCTCTATAAGGCCTCTGGGCCCCCTCTGTTGGCAGGTCCTTTAGGTAATAGCAAATATTCTGCTTACAACTCTTCCCAATAATTTCTGGACACATATTTGGTTGCTCTAATGCCTCCATTTTAATGGATCCCTTTATCATGTTGTTGAGCTTTTTGCTAGCGCAAAGCTTGCACTGCATGTGGAACCCTAGTTTATATTCTTGTTAAATGTGAGATGAATTCTTTGTTGTTTCATAAGCATTTTGTAATTTATTACGGCTTGGTTAAGCTGAGTCAGGGGGCCCTGGACAGACCTGGAATGTGGAATGTATGGCATTGGTACTTTTTCAAACTGGCTTGGTCAAAACTGGCAAGTCACAAAATAGCCTTGGCTAATTATCAAGCACCCATTGAGCAAAAGGAGGTACAGTGGGAGGGGACACAGACATGGATATTCTTGGCTGTTCCCTTCCTTTGGAAAAGCTTATACCCCCAAGGCAAGTACAGTCTCCACTCTTAGAAACTTGTGGAGAATGGCTAAAACTGTTTTTTGCCCCTTTGTTGATTAAGTAGCTAAGGGAAGATGGGTGCCGTTGTAGTTTGCTGTTGTCTACAGTTTTATTGTTTTTTATTACATTGTTCCTTGCATTGTGTTTTGGTTTTGTACACGGCCTAAAGCCTCTAAAATGAAGCGGCTTATTATCTAATAAATAAATAAATAAATAAATAAATAAATAAATAAATAAAGGTGTAGTTAACAGCTGTACAGTTCCCCTGCTTTGTTCAATGGAGGGAAATTAGTGTTTCAGAAGATAAGAAAGAAATAAAAATGTAACTGAAGAGATGTAACATAAATGATCTCCCCTTGCCTATTGATTTTTCCTTTTAATTGTTTTCTATAAAGTTCCAAATTTGCCTTATTTGAGAGACTGAGACACTTAGACAAGTTAAACCAGTAATTCTGATTATTGGTGCTTCTGATGAATGGGTCTGTCTATATGAAAAACACAGAAATAGCATTAAAAGCAAGTACAGCTCTGTAACTGTGATTAACCTTCTTCCAGCATGTTGTATTTTCAACCATCTTAGATCAGGTATAAAAGAAGTGGAGTGGCCATATGTCTCCCTTGGCCCCAGAGAATTTCTCCCTTCCACCATAGTGTCAACAGTCTTTAACATTGGATGGCAATCTGCCTCACTGCAAAGTAAAACTTCTAACATTATGTATATTTGCTAATTAAAGTCAAGGAACTTTATTTTTGATCATTGACCAACCTTTACTCACTAATCAGGGACAGGCCCATGGACAAAGTTAAAGAGGGGAGGGAAAGGGCAAAGTTAAGCTGAGGTACTTGAGAGTATCTGGGCCCAGAAGGAGTGATAGGGAACTGTTTTCTGACATTATTTTTGGTAAATGGGTCTTGTCTGACCTTGTCCGTATGTTCTCAAAATTCCAAATGTGACTTTGGCTGTTCAGATGACCTACTCCTATATGAAACTCTTTGCAGAGCTGCCCAGGATCATCCCATATATCCAGAGGGCAGTTAGTTGTGAAATCATTCTGTATAATTGATTCTCACACTACTCTTCTTGGATATCTTCTTCAGCAGAGGAAACAACAGAAAATCAGAAACACAAGTCTATTGAAAAATAACCCACACTAACTAAGTGCTCCATTACCAAAGTAACAACCCAGTCTCCCACAAGAGGAGCTGTATAAGAACATTATTTAGATGAGTACCAATACACCAACAATGCAGAACATCAGAAAAAGGAAAGAGGTCACCTATACAACATCTTCCAACAAAATGGATAACCACGTAACTTTATCAAAAAGTGCCTGATACTCAACCCACTACAGCTCAACCAACAAAAGCTGTGAAAAAGATAACACTACCATACATTAAAAATATCTCAGAAACAACCAACAGTCTATTACAACTACATGGCATCAGTGTAGAACACAAACCAGCTAAAGCCCTCCAAAGCATCTTAAGTAAACGAAAAGACCCAGTAGCCCAAGAAGAAAAAACAGGAGTCATCTACAATATACAATGTAAGGACTGTAACAGCCACTATGAAGGACAGACAGGCAGAAGACTAGCAGAGCACATCCATGAACACTAACTAGCAGACAGAACACACAGTGAAAACTCCTTAATCTCACAGCACAGCCTCTCCAGCAGCCAACACCCAGATAAGCAGGGATTAACACCAGGCAAACAATGAAGCAGAAAACAGTACCCTAATCAAGGAACTACCAAAGAGAAAACCACACCTCCACCAATACTGGCTGGACAAGCCACTGTATATTAACAGGGAGCAAACTCCTCACTCCCTAGCACTGATGATGTTACCTAGTTGGGTAATGAAAGTCTGCAAGCAAACAACCAAGCTCAGAGAGCATCAAAAAGGTCATGATGACGGCTGTAGTGGTGTGATTGGAGCTCCACCTTCTTTTTATAAGTATCACACATGAAAAATAGGCTAAGCTCCATTCACACCATCATGGACATCATCTTGATTTTTTTGACCATACCTTGCAGAAAGCTCTGGATTCTCAGAAGTGGAAGATAAGTGTATTAACATTTCTGCCCTCACTTTCTAGGTCCTGCCTTTACATTTGGATGATCTAAGTTGTTTCTTAATTATTTATTAATAAAGCTCTGCATCCTTGAAAATGTAAGCTCTTTCAGTACCTACAGTGGCATACAAGTATATTTAAAATGTTACACACTATAGTAAAAGCACTTGACATCATATTATTTAAATAAAAACAGAAAAGGCAGCAAATATAAGGCAGATATAGTTAATCTGTCAACAGACAGAATTAGTGAAAATATGTAAGTAGAAAAAGGTGCTGAAACACTTATAGGACTGACAGTTTGTTAAAGGAAAAAGTAGTTACCCAAATAATAATTGTTTATTCTGTTGGAAAATAGTTTTTTGTTATCTTTTCAGTAGAGACAGGGATAAAAAGAAAATTATTCTAGTATGCAATGGATGAGTAAGAAGCTCTTTCTGTCTGTGTTGATTTGTCTAGAATGATTCTTTCTTTTTTTTTGCCCCAACCCACTCTTAAGAACATTGCTTCCTGCCCTATTGATCTTATATCTCAGATAATTTTGAGACCTAGCAATCAGAGCCAGTAGTAAAATGTTGGTTATTTTAAAATGCCTGTTTATCCAGATGAACTTCTATTGGTATGTATTACTTTGATTTATCATAGTTTACTGTTGTCAACATATTTTGAATCATGCGTTTGATATAGTTTGACACCTATAGAAACTCACACCATTGTAAACTTGTTTCCAAAACTCTGCAAGATAAATTGTCTTCTAACGAGGATTTTACATAATACCTGCTTAGACTGCTTGATGAATGCGCTTGTATTGGAAAGTTGTTGAGTTCTAATGTGGTGTTTAATTCTGGTATTTATAAGGTTTACTTAAAAGAGCATTAGACCCTGCATTTGGACTTATGAATCCATTCTTTTTCCTTCCTTCCTTCCTTCTTCCCATTTATAGAATTCGGCAGAAGGCTCTAGAGAGGCGAGAAGAAACCATCATTGTTGACCGTGCATGTAGACAAGAAACTTTTATTCACGAGATGGTAAGGCCTCCCTTCTTGCTACTGCCATCTGTATATTGCATGTTTAGGTTATTCCAGCTACACAATAATTACAGAACTGCAGTTTTTATGTTCTAATGTCAAGAAAGTCTTGCCACAATAGCTGTCACAGGGTGCAGGTTGATAGAAGTTGCATAGGAATTCTTGACCTTGTGTTTTATTCTAAGCCAAGTATGACATTTTGGCAATTTAATCAGCAGCCCTAGGAATTTGACAGTTTGTGTGGAAAGGAAGTACAATGTCCTTTTGCTTGTTTATCCAGAATGTTGTAAAAGATTGGAATTGTTCCCCAGTATCACTTGCTAATTAAGATGGATTCTGCCATTCACATGGCTTGATCAAGCTCTGCTTCAGGCATACTTCCCTATACCTTCTTAAACTGAAGAAGATGGGCCTATATGGGAAGTGACTGCACTTTCCTTACACCTGCCAAGCTTGCAATAACTTCCACAGTTTTGCAGTTAAAGGCACACCTCTTAATACAGTGGTACCTCGGGTTACGAATTTAATCCGTTCTGTGACTCTGGTCGCAACCCGATTTGTTCGCAACCCAAAGCAAATTTTCCCATAAGGTTCAATGTAATTACTGTTAATCCGTTCCGGCGTCCACGGACCATGCATCAAGGGCGGAAAAACGGCCGCGGACCACGCGGCAGGGCGGAAAAATGGCCGCGGACCATGCGGCAGGGCAGAAAAATGGCCGCGGACTGTGTGGCATGGGCGGAAAAATGGCCGCGGACCACGTGGCACGGGCGGAAAATGGCCGCAGACCACGTGGCACGGCGGAAAATGGCCGCAGATCCGG